GATAGATAGATAGATAGATAGATAGATAGATAGATAGATAGATAGATAGATAGATAGATAGATAGATAGATAGATAGATAGATATTCAACACTTTAGAGCAAAACACTAAAACAAACAGAATGTATGCATGGTAATTAATTACAAATGCCACTATCACAAGTTTTATAAACTTGTGATTTTGTTGTTTTGGGTTTTTTAAACGTAATACAAAGATGTGTTGATTTTGAGTCTGTGTCACGCCCTTGCGGTGACCCTTTCTTCCTGGCCTGCTAAAGTCAGCTCCGTTCACCTATCCGGCCGATGCCTTTCCGACAAAACAAACGCACCTTTTTTTTTCTTTGGCCCAGCTTGGAGACGGCCAATCAGCTCTCCTCCCCGCTGCTACGATAGAACATCTCGGGCAAAACAACAGCTCGTCGTCAACTTGAACGGTTTCGGAGTGGGACTACCAAAAGATACAGCGTGGAAAAATGGCGAATTGACCACAGTTGTTGTTTGTGGGGAGGCTTTAAACGTTTGGGCTTCTGTTTAAGCTTGAAGTCCGAGCCGATTTAGAGCTATATTCGGAGCTGCGGTGTTAGCTCTTAAGCTAACTGTAGGGAAACCATCGGGCGATCCAGCAGATAAAAAAGATGGGGTCCATCCTGAGTCGTAGGATTGCTGGTGTTGAAGACATCGATATCCAGGCCAACTCTGCCTATCGATTTCCACCGAAATCTGGTAAGTAATTGGCAGTGTCTCTCGGTTTAGGGCAGCTAAGCTAAAGACACCGAGTTCTGTTTTGGTAATCAGGTTTAAAGCGTGTTTCATGTGACTGTAACTGACCATCATATGGACACAATTTGTCTCTGTGCCATCAAGTTTCAAATGTCAGTGGTTTCAGCCAGGATGGGACATGTAAAATAAAAATCATGTCACGTTTATTAAAATGCCATACGTCTCAGGCCCCGCCCCCGTCGGAAAATATAATACAACATAGGGTCATTATTACAGCGTTTTTATTTAATAATGTTTTTTTTTTATTTTCCTTAGGCAAATCCGCAGCTAACATTGCATGATCTTTACAAGTAAACCCATAACACAGGACAGGTTACACCCACTCGTAAAATGAAATTAGCCAACTTTCTGCTAAAATCATTTTCTCTTGCGTCTTATTGCTGCCATAATAACTCCCCTTCTTTCCTTTCCTCTTCAGGAAATTACTTCGCCAGTCACTTCTTTATGGGAGGAGAGAAATTTGACACGCCACATCCAGAGGGATACCTCTTCGGGGAAAACATGGACCTGAATTTTCTTGGAAATAGACCAGTGCAGGTATATATTTAAAAGAAAGTTCATTTAGCTTTAATAATGTGCCATTTCCAAACTCACTGGACGMAGTTTTCAGATATCTTTTGCGACAAGAATGATATAAAAAGTATTTTTGGTACGGTTCATTGAAGTTGCTGTTGTTCCACCAGTTTCCGTACGTGACACCTGCGCCCCACGAACCTGTGAAAACCCTGAGGAGTCTGGTGAACATCAGAAAGGACTCCTTGCGTTTAGTCAGGTAAAGCAAGTGAGATTCTAATACAGTGAAAGCATTGGGAAAAAAAAGATTTTTATGGTAATGTTTGTCCAACTTCTTGATTTTTTTTTTTTAGATATAAAGATGACTCTGACACATCAGTGGAGGACGGAGGGAAACCAAAGGTTCAGTACGGCGTGGAGTTTACCTTCGATGCTGATGCTCGGGTCGCCATTACCCTCTACTGCCAGGCGTTTGAGGAGTTCTCCAATGGGATGGCTGTGTAAGAATTTCATTATAGATCTTTAATTTTCCGTGTGTTAACCTGTCTAACATTAGATCTGAGTCTCACTGATCTCATGCATGCATCTCGATGAAGCTGCTTCGTGTTGGTGAGAAGCAGAATACCAGAAATACTTGAGCTGTGAAAGTAAAAGCCTGCGCTGTAGAAGTCTTCTGATGAAACTTAGGATCAGAAATCACCGCCGTGTTAGTCAAGTGTTTCTGTTCTCAGACTTGATGACAGTTCTCCTTTTCAGTCTTCAACTCAGCGGCTTTTGTTTTTGTTGTTTTTGCTGTTGTTGTTTTTAAACGTGAAGGTACAGCCCAAAAGATCCAACGATGGTTTCGGARACAGTGCACTACAAGCGGGGGGTGAACCAGCAGTTCTCCATGCCGTCCTTCAAAATAGATTTCAGCGAGTGGAAAGAAGAAGATGTAAGTCGAGTTGTTTGTCAGCGGGCCACACGAGCCGCCTGCGTTCATACATTAATGATCCAGTTTAAAACGGTGCGTTCATGTCTTTAAAGCTGAACTTCGACCTGGACCGGGGAGTGTTTCCCATGGTAATCCAAGCTGTGGTTGATGAAGGGGATGGTAGGTCTGGTCTGTTGTTACTGTGTGTCTGTGGTTGCATTACGTCTCATAGTGTTACATGTTAATATTTGTTGTCTTTTTTTTTTTAAGATTGTCTTGGACATGCTCATGTGCTACTGGCAGCATTTGAAAGAGTATGTATTTTATTAGTAATAATAAAAAGAGTCTAACAATTACAAAAGTTGGAAAACTCATTTCTTTTTTTCTTTTTTCCTTCCAGCATGTTGATGGCAGTTTCTCTGTCAAGCCACTGAAGCAGAAGCAAATTGTAAGTTTATGTCTTTTATTTTAACAAAACTTTTCTATTTTACTTAATTATTTCAGTTAGAAGTGTAATTTATTGCAGCACATTTTTGCTCTGGTTTATTTTTATTCACTTAACATCAAAGCCAGTCGTCCATAAAGCACTCTTAAGTTGCAGCTTGTTGATAATTCAGTACGCAGACATTGATATTTAT